TAATTTTTATTTACTTATTTATTTTTGGCTATAGGGTGCACACATTCACCGGAGAGAGTGGGAGTAGAAAGGGGGAGGAAGGGGGAGTGAGAAAGCACCCCCACACCTCCAGAGGAAATGGCCACACTGCAATCCTTCTCCTCCATGCTCCCCTTGGGATTCTGGGCATACACATAAGCACACGCACACCCAGCCGCTGGGTCTGGGACTCAAACTGCGCAGTTGGCCATGTGGGATCCAGCTGCCTTAACCACCATGCACCAGCTGGCCCAATATATTCTTTAAAAAAAACTAAAGAATGTTAGCATTCTGTACACACGTCTGCTTTTTCACTCACGCATCTGGAAGATATTTCTATATCAGTACATATAATTGCTGTCATTTTAAGAACAGCTGCAAATAATTCGAGCATATGAATGCACCATAATTGACCTAGCTAATCTCCTGTGGATAGACACTTAATAATCATTTGCTATTTGATTCAATGTTGCCTTTATGCATGTCTTTTTGTACAGGTGCATATATACATGTAGGATACAATTCTAAATGTGAAGTTGCCATGTCAAAAGGTTTGATATATTTAAAATTCCAATAGCTATTGCCAAATTGCTATTCATCATGTCTACAACCATTTTTTTAGTCCCACCAATAGATATTTGAAAGTTTGATTTTACACACCTCTCCTGAAACAGTGCACTCCTCACATTTCTTTCTTTATGCACAACTCTAAGGTCACGATAGGATTTCAATATGATCTTAATTTACATTTATCTTGTTATAAAACAAGTTGAGCATCTTATTATATTTTAAGAACTATTTGCATGTCCTTTTCTGAGAACTATCTGTTCGTGACATTTGCCTCAATTTTCCACTGGGTTTGTTATTCTTTCTCTTCTTGATTACTATCTGGTAGAATATTTATTTCTACATGTTTTTTTTTTCTTTGAATTTGGATTTTTGAGCTAGCTTATTGACTTCTATATATCTTATTTTTATTGGGCCAAGTTATATTTCTAGCTTAACTTAAAGAAAATAGGCAGTCCTACATATCTTTCTGTGTTAAAAAAATTAAAAAAAAGCATTTGTTCACAATATAAAGTGGATTTAAACAAGTACATTATAGGAAGATGCTACTCATGGTATCCAAACTGAGAAGGGGCAAGGATGGAAGCAGGAAGGCCAAGAAAGCAGTACTGCAGTGATCCAGCAAAGAGAGGACATGGGACCAGGAGATGGTGTAATGGTTATGTTGCTGGACTCTCATGTAGTCAACCATGGTTCAAGTCCCCAACCCAGTGGCTTAGAACTCACACCAAGCATGCCAAGCGTGCTTGGCAAGTGTGTATGCCAAGATCCTAAGGTGAGAATGGAGAAGAAGGAATTGTGGCGTGGCCATACCCCCCTTGGGGGGAGTGATTTCTTGCTTTCTGTCTCTGTCTCTCTCTGTTTCTCTGGTGAGCACACATATGCTATAGCAAAATCTCTCTTAAAGAGAGAGAGAGACAGACAGACAGACAGACAGAGAGGGGACAGGGCTTGGATTAGAGTGGGCCATGGGCAGATTTGAAATCTGTCCTGGAAGTAGAGCCAACAGGACTTCCTCAGAAGTAAGATAGAGGGAAAATAGGTATGATGCCTAGCCACCCCCCCCCCTTTAAAAGTTTTTTTGCTATAGAGTGTGTGTGCTCACTAGAGGGAGAGACAGAACCACTCCCATGGGGTTGGCCACGCTGCAATCCTTAGACCTCTACGTCTTCTTGGGACCTTGGGCACAAATGTACATGTGCCTGGCATGATTTTCAAGCTGTTGTGTCTGGGACTCAGACCTTGCAGCCAGCCAGCTTTGATCTAGCTGCCTTAATCTCCATGCCACCTGCTGACCCTTAAGTTGCATCTTAACGACTGTTGGTTTTAGGTAAACCATTCTGGTTCTGAATCATCACATTTAATCCCAAGCCTCCAGTCTCTGGGTCCTGCTGGTTTAGGTGACACCTCTCTTATGAGTCTTGAGCTTATTCCTCAAAGGCAAGGGAGACGAGGAAGATTCTGACAGAGTCTGCATTCAATTCTTTCTCTGCACTCCCTCCATGAAACAGCAGATTCAAAAACAACAACTAAAGCTCATGATTGGTTGCCTACTCCCGTAAAGGAGGGCTCCCTTCCTCAACCTCGTGTTTCAGCTCCACCATGGGGCTTCCACAAGTGGGCTGCAGGAGTAAGTGGGGGCCCACCAATTCCATCCACCCTTGCTAGGGGCAGTGTGATTGCCTGGTAGCTGGTAATTCCTCACTCCCTGTGCACCATTCCCTCTCTCGCAACTCAGCCAAGACAGAGGCCACTGATAAACTCAGCCCAGCCGACATCCATCCCCTGAATTCTAGTTAGTTACTTCTCTCTGTATCCCAAAGAAACAACAGGCAAGAAAGCAAAGCCATCCAACCTGAAAGGAGAAAGATATTTTGTCTCTATCTGATGACTGACAGCTAAGAGCAGTCACTTCGCCTCACACACTGGAGATGCCAGGCTTCTGCCAAGGCCCCCGGATGCTTACTAGTTGCCCCTGTTAATTGCTCAGGGATACCATGATCAGCAACCCCACCCTCTAGCTCTCTCCATCCAGACATTGAAGCCTCTGGCAAACAGAAAGAAATCTGTCTTCATTTTACGTACAAGGACCTCTGTTTTAGATAAAGATGGCTACAAGAAAAAAAAGAGTTTTACTTCATATTTTGCTCCAATTGACTGACGACTATTAACAGGTAAACAACTGTGCTTGAGACACTTAAAGAATTTTGGGGAGGGGACCAGCAGTTAGCGTAATGGCTATGTTGCTGGACTCCCATGTAGTCGACTGCGGTTTGAGTCTCGGACGTGGTGGCTTAAACTCACGCTGGGTGTGTGTGCATGCGTGCCCAAGATCCCAAGAGGAGAATGGAGGAGAAGGGATTGCGGCATGACCATCCCTCCTGGGGGTGATTTCTCGCTTTCTATCTCTCTGTCTGTCTGGCGAGTGCACGGGCCCTGTAGTAAAAAAAACCTTCTCCAAAAAAGAAAGAAAAAAAGAATTTTGGGGATAATGTGATTTAAATATATTCCTTACATACCCTGCTCTTCATTCCTCTCCGTGCCTGGTCCTTTTTTGCTTCTTTGCACTGGAGGGGGCGCCAGGAGTGGTGAAATTTCTTACCAGCTAAACTCCAAGCAGGTGTAACCTCTTGAAGCACTGACCACATTCTTTGGCCATTGTAAACAGGGCAGCCAAGTGCAGGCTCTTCTGCTAAATGGCCAGTAGATAGCTTGCACTTGTTAATATCTGACATTCCTGTCCTCAAGCACCACAACCAGGCAGTCTAGAAAAGTGGTAGCACTCTCTGGTCTGCATGATGAGGTCTGAGATGGTGTATATATTAGTAAGTTTCCTTTTTAAAAAGTTGCTTGAGAAAGTTGGAGCCAGCAGGTGGTGTGGTGGTTAAAGGTGTTGGACTCACGTATGGCTGACCACAGTTCAAGTCTGGGACTTGGTGGCTTGCTTTCTTGCATTCTCTCTGGTCAAATTAAAATAATAATAATAATCTTTTAAAAATTAAAGTAAAATACTTTAAAAGTTTCTTGAGGGACTAAACAATGTGTCCTCTTTCTTGGTGTGTTTAGCTCTTTAAGTCAACCTGGCTATAAAATCATAATGCTACTTGGGGCGATGGTGGTTTTCCTTAGGCGTTCTAGCCTCCTCCTGGCCGCTCTAATGAATATTCAGCAGCGATCCACTGGCACGTCCCCAGGAGTCCTTTGCATATCCATGCCGTCAACTCCTTCACAAGTGGTTTTACTCGGTAATTTACAAATGCACTCCCTGCACTTTGCATCTGCCGGTCTTGCCATAATTAGTTTAGAATACGAAACGGTTTCTAAATTAAGGACTGGACTCGTAAAATAGAGAAAGCCAGATAATCGACATTGTGGCTCCGGTGGCCAAGGAATAACGGGATAAATAACTAGGACAAGTCCTTTACCTAGCCTTCCTGGGGATAATGACTGACATGCCAATTAGGCGTCCATACAACACGCCGGTGAAATACAGGTCAACAATCGACGGTAGAGAAGAGGGGCAACGCTCGATTATTTAAAAATCGCTCCCTTCTGCCAAATATTCAGAGTGAAAATCCAGGGGTCGGGCACTCTGGGGAACACACAATTCGAGTGACGTGTCTGCCAGCCAACACCTGCAACTGGCACGGGCTCAGAACGCGAGCGTCGCGCCCTGGAAACACCTGTGGATCCTGGAAGTGGGGAGGGGGCTGCTGTGTGGGCGGGGCGGGGACCCGCGAGGGCGCGCGTCCGGGAGGGGAGGTCGGGCGGAAGGCCAGAGGGAGGGGGCTGTGCGGGAAACCCCACTGAAGCTAATGGGGTGCTCCCCCGGCAGGTACTGGCGGCGCAGAACTCCGATCCCAGCCAGGAAAACGAGGAGCGAGGCGGGGCAAGACGAGCCAGAGCGAGCGCAGGAGTAGAAGGAAGACGGGGAGCGGAAGGAGGGGAGGAGAATAGAG